ACATCATCCCCACTAACCTCCAACCCTAAGGACTTTCCCAATGCCACAATGGATTCCTCAACTGGCATAATCCTCTCAGGGTTAGCCTCAAACCCTTCAAAATCCCTTTTGTCTACACATTCTGGCCACAGTTTCTTCCAAGCAGAGTTCAAGGTCTTCTTAGTCACTCCCTCCCAAGCCTTACCTATAAGGTTTACACAATTGAGGATATTAAAGTGCTCTCTCCAAAACTCTCTTAGAGTCAGTTGAGTTTCTGAGGTCACTACAAAGCACCTTTCAAACAAGCTTTTGTGTACAGTTTTTGAAGTTTGCAATAACCTGCTGGTCCATGGGCTGCAGGAGAGGAGTGGTATTAGGAGGCAAAAACTTCACCTTAATGAATTTCATGTCCCCATAAAGTCGCTCTGCCACATCTGTAGGATGACCAGGGCATTGTCTAACACCAGGAGGCACTTAAGTTCTAATTTCTTTTCAGTTAGGTAATCTTTCACATTGGGGGCAAATGCATGGTGTAACCAGTCATAGAAAAAGTCCCTAGTGACCCATGCCTTACTGTTTGCCCTCCACAGCACACACAAATTCTCCTTGAGGACATTCTTTTGCCTGAACGGTCTGGGAGTTTCAGAGTGATACACTAATAAAGGCTTCACTTTGCAATCACCAGTAGCATTGGAACACATCAACAAAGTAAGCCTGTCTTTCATAGGCTTATGCCCTGGGAGTGCCTTTTCCTCCTCAGTAATGTAGGTTCTGCTTGGCATTTTCTTCCAAAACAGGCCTGTTTCATCACAATTAAACACTTGTTCAGGTTTCAGTCCTTCACTGTCTATGTACTCCTTGAATTCCTGCACATATTTTTCAGCTGCTTTGTGGTCCGAACTGGCAGCCTCACCATGCCTAATCACACTATGTATGCCACTACGCTTCTTAAATCTCTCAAACCAACCTTTGCTGGCCTTAAATTCACTCACATCATCACTAGTTGCAGGCATTTTTTTAATTAAATCCTCATGCAACTTCCTAGCCTTTTCGCTTATGATCGCTTGAGAGACGCTATCTCCTGCTAGCTGTTTTTCATTTATCCACACCAATAAGAGTCTCTCAACATCTTCCATCACTTGCGATCTCTGTTTCGAAAACACAGTTAAACCTTTGGCAAGAACAGCTTCCTTGATTGCCTTTCTGTTGCCCACAATAGTAGCGATGGTTGATTTGGGTTTCTTGTACAACCTGGCCAGGTCGGCGACACACACTCCACTTTCATACTTATCAATGATCTCTTTCTTCATCTCTATTGTAATTCTCACCCTTATTGCTGTAGGGTTGGCACTAGAAGCTTTCTTGGGGCCCATTGTCACTTATTTGGCTGATAAAATCACCAAAAACACTGTAATAATACGAAATGTTCGATTGTATGCTTGGATGTTACCGCGGAGGCAGGCTGGTAAACAATGCCACCAGCGGCACATGTGAGGCTGGCTAAGGGCACACATTGGACGCGTCTTGGACGAAGAACGGTGAGTGGGTTTTTGAGCGGTATGCGAGGCAAAATTTTTGCGATAAAAGCGAGCGGTGTGCGGATTGTACGTTGTGTGATGGCGACGGTATGCGGGGGTCCACTGTACTATGTACTATCATCTTGTATAGTTTTAAGTAGTTACCGTGTATTAGGATTAGTCTGCCCAAAATGCCCCAGCATGATAATGGCTTTCTTTCTATGTACACCTACCAGCCGACTTACGACCTGCTCGACTTACGACCACTCGACTTACGACCGTGTTTTTTATGCCAATTTTTTGGGAAATAAACAACTATTTGTGTTGTACACAGTGTTTATCCTAAACCTTACAGTATAAAATACAGTATTAACAACATAAAAAGTAAAGTAAAACATGAAATACCAAAATAAAACAATAAAATAAAGTCATTACAAGAATGTTTTGTTGATATTCAGTAGTAAAGTTCAACTTACGACCATTTCGACTTACGACCGGTTTCTCGGAACCGAACTCGGTCGTAAGTCGGATGGTATGTGTACTTGGCAAACCAAAATTGTAATTACATATTGTAACCTTTACAAAGAAATAAACCTTACTTTACTTCTGTATCTTCATATCTATTCAATCACCACACAAAACAGAAGACATTTAATCAGTTTAAAACCAAAAAATCATATTTTTAAAACTGTACCATTCGTACAATGGCTATCTTTCTTATTATTCATATAAAAGTAAACTACTTAAGAAATCCTGTTTAACTGAAGATTCTTGAATCAAGTTTGAAATATTAATGCATACTTTCAAAATTGTACTTCTGTTCATTTAGCTACCTCTCTTTTTTTTACATTTAAAAAATCCTACTAGTTTACAGTAGACCCCTGGTTTTCGGCCGTAATCCATTCCAGAAGGGTGGTCGAAATCCGAAATGGCCAAAAACCGACTTAATATTTCCCATAAGAAATTAATGTAAATCAAATTTAAAATCTGTTCCAGACACCCAAAAATATGTAAAAAAAAAAAAAAATATAATATATTTTTTAAAGAATAACTATAGTTTTATATAAAAAAAAAACAGAGAAAGAAATATAAAGCACTAACATTAATGATATTGAACATTACACACCTTTATTGAAGACTCTTTTTTGGCGTATTGAAGAAGGCGAGGAGGGGAGAGGGGTTAGGAATCCCCCTCCATATGGACTTTCGGGCATCAAAGCCCCTCTGGGGTTATTTCCTTCTCTGTCTTTTACTGCCACAGTACATTCATTACTTACCTTAAAATATCGTAGTCTTAATGTAGGGCAAAAAGGCGAGTAATATTGATTTGTAGGAAATCAGTGTAGGCAGAAAAGTAGATGTAGGTTACACATATGTAGCCCCCCCCGGGCTACACTACACAGTCATATTATTACACTACACAGCCAAAATTACCATCGATATACCATGTTCACTGAGTTTAATCGTTTCTAAGAACAACCTTTAGATGCCCCTCATAAACCCAAAAGGGGGAACTAAAAGAATAAATTTTATTCTGAGAATTGTAAATAGACTTTATGAAGGGCAGTGACTGGGCCAGACTCCAGATTCACAGTTTTCTCTAACACTGAACCAGAGAAAATGTAATGTTTACCTTCCACCCGACTCATCACTTGACAGCAAAAAAACATTGCTTGTTTATATGCTATGTAATGTGTTTCTTATATAATTTTGAAGAAAATACATAGATGGATTTAATGAAAAGGTCTATATTAACCTAAAATAAGATATTTAATGTGCCCAAGAGTGCCCGAAATGCCTAGGCATGCTAGTGGCCTTCTTTGTAATTCATATTTTTATAATATGTAAACCACAAATTGTAAATAGTATACTATATGTAAATCCCACATTGTAATCTTACAGAGAAATAAATATTTCAATTTCAATTATTTTTAAACATACATCGCATATAAACATTGTATGTTTTTATATACTATGTAATATGTTTCTTATATAATTTTGAAGAAAATATGTACCATAGATGGATTAATGAAAATGTCTATATTAACCTAAAATAAGACATTTAATGTTTCCAAGAGTGAGTTTATGAACGTATGAGCGGCCCAGGTGAACGCGTCTGGTACCAACGATTTCTGAGCAGATACACGAAATCCGGGGGGGGGGAATTTCACCGGAAAAAGTGCTCAATTTCCGAACTGGCCAATTTCCGCACCGGCCGAAAACCGGGGGTCCACTGTATATATAATTCTTTTAAGTAGTCTTTAAGCATTAGTTTAAGTTTGTCCAAAGTGCATTGCTTACTAGTGGCTTTCTTTTGTGCCTAACAATATTTTATTACATGTAAACTACATTATCTGTGCACTGCATACAAAAATAAATACAGTGGACCCCCGCATAACGATGGCATCGCATAGCGATTTTTCCGCATAACGATTACTTTTATCGCAAAATTTTTGCCGCGCATACCGATTAAAAACCCGCATACCGATTTCGTCCGAGACGCGTCCAATGTGCCCTCAGCCAGCCTCACATGTGCCGCTCCGTCCCATTGTTTACCAGCCAGCCTCCGCGGTAACATCCAAGCATACACTCGGAATATTCGTATTATTACAGTATTTTCGGTGCTGTTTCTGGAAAATAAGTGACCATGGGCCCCAAGAAAGCTTCTAGTGCCAACCCTGTGGTAAAAAGGGTGAGAATTAGTATGGAAATTAAGAAAGATTTTGAAGGGTTTGGGGCTAACCCTGAGAAGCCTATGCCAGTTGTGGAATCCATTGTGCCTACTTCAAAGATTAAGGAAATGTGTGCAGAGTGGGTTGAACTGCAAACCTTAAAGATGAAAATCACCCTGACACAGCTGTTGCAAGCCGTGCTTGTGACTATTTCAATGACAATGTTAATGGCCCATTTTAGGAAAGTCTTGAAGGAACGGGAGGTACAGAGCTCTATGGACAGATTTGTTGTGCGACAGAGGTCCAGTGACTCTCAAGCTGGTCCTAGTGGCATTAAAAGAAGAAGGGAAGTAACCCCAGAAAAGGACTTGCTACCTCAAGTCCTAATGGAAGGGGATTCCCCTTCTAAACAGTAAGAAGATAATGCTCTCTCCCCCCTCCCATCCCATCAATCATCACCAGATCTTCAATAAAAGTAAGTGTCATGTAATTGTGCATGCCTTTTTCAGTTTGTGTGTATTAAAATTAACATTTCATGTGGTAAAAAAAAATTTTTTTCATACTTTTGGGCGTCTTGCACGGATTAATTTTATTTCCATTATTTCTTATGGGGAAAATTCATTCGCATAACGATTATTTCGCATAACGATGAGCCCTCTTGCACGGATTAAAATCGTTAACCGGGGGTCCACTGTATTTGAATTTGACAGTCTCAGCAATTATAAAATGATGTCTATTAGTATATTTGCTTATGATTTAGTCTAAGATTATCTTGGAAGCTGGCTATGTCAACTAAGCCAATATATCAGATAATCACAAGTTTACAGCTTACCATTCACATTTATCAACTTCCTGTGAATCAAAGCTGAATCCTGAGAACCCATCACTATACTGCTGACTGGAGGATGGCATCTGCCAAGCCACCGCAAAGACAGCATCCTCTTGCAGTACCCCTGCAAAAATAAATTATTAATGTGTGATTCACACACACAGTATACAACAGTACATATTTAACATAACAGTTTACTACTACTACTGATTATCATTATTATTATTAGACAAAATGAATTTTTTAGTAGTTTCATTTAGTTAATTACAGGGACCTCATAGTTACACACACATCAAAATTTGCATGATTAGTCAAGGTTAGATTATACTACAGTATATTAAAATTATTCAGTACTTTCAGAGTAAAAAACTATAAAAAAATTAAATAAAGAGTAAAACCAGTACTGTAGCCTGAACCATTACAAAATGTGATGAGATAGTATCTTATTTTTATGTATAAAAGACATTAATGATATTCAGTTTCCCCTGTTCACCTAGCAATAAATAGGTACCTGGGTGTTAGCCATTGGGGGTAGGATCACATCCTAGGGAAGAGGATTAAAAGACCCCCAAGTAGCAATAAGCCAGACAGTCTGATGGAAATGACTTTGTCAAGGTGTCCAAGGTTACTAACCCTCAAGGTTAATAATACAAATATAATCTACTTCTCTTTTTTAAAGCTGTACAAGCTTTGTAAAAGTGATAACCCAAAGTTAAACAATTAACAAAAAATTAATAATGCCCATCACAGAAATTACAAATTAATACATAATGCCCACCATAGAAGTTACAAATTAATAAAATATATATGCAATACCTAAAAAACTGGCAAAGGATACTTTTTACCTTTTCTAAAAAGGCCAAAAAAAATCAATGGCTACTGCAATTAAAAGTTCCATCCCCAGGGCACAGTACTTTTCCCCCTTCACTTTCTCATTTGTAATTTGACACAGACAGGAATATAAATCAAGTACAGGGGACCCCCGCTACCGTCACCATAATAACTACAATCCGCACACCCCCTCGCTTTTTTTCCCAAAATTTTGCCTCGAAAACCGCCAAAAACCCGTCACCGCTTTTTCGCCAGACGCGTCCAATGTCGCCCTTAGCCGCCTCACATGTCCGCCGGGCATTTTTACCAGCCTCCCCGTGGTAACATCCAAGCATAAAAATCGGAACTTTAGGTATTATTACAGTTTTTTTTTGGTGATTTTATCTGAAATAAGTGACCATGGGCCCCAAGAAAGTTTCAGTCCCAACCCACAGCAAAAAGGGGTGAGAATTAAAATAAGATGAAAAAAGTTCTTTGAAATATGAAAGTGGGTGGTGTCGCCGACCTGGCCAGGTTGTACAAAAACCCAAATCAACCACGCTACATTGTGGGAAACAGAAAGGCAATAAAGGGAAGCTTTCTTGCCAAGGTTTAACTTGTTTTCGAAACAGAGATCGCAAGTGATGGAAATTTGAGAGACCTATTGGTGTGGGATAAATAAAAACAGCTAGCAGAGAACGTCTCTCAAGCGACATAAGCAAAAGGCTGGAAAATTTTGCATGGGTTTTAAATTTAAAAAAAAAGCCTGCAACTAGTGATGATTGAGTGAATTAAAGCCAGCAAAGGTTGGGTTTTAGAGATTAAGAACTAGTGCCTACATGGTGATAAGGCATGTAGGCTGCCAGTTCGGACACAAAGCAGCTAAAAATATGTGCGGGAAATTAAAGGGAGTAATAGACAGTAAAGGGACTGAAACCTGAACAAGGTTTTAAGTGTGAAACAGGCCTTTTTTGGGGAAGAAAACCCCAAGGGGCAGGACCTACTTTACTGAGGAAAAAGGCACTCCCAGGACATAAGCCTATGAAAGACGGCTTTTGATGTTTTTTCCAAATGCTACTGTGTTTGCAAAGTGAAGCCTTTATTATGTAATCACTCTGAAACTCCCAGACCGTTCAGGAAAAAAACTCCTCAAGGAGAATTTGTTTGGGGGCGTGGAGGGGAAACATAAGGCATGGGTCACTAGGGGCTTTTCTTGACTGGTTTCACCAGCATTTGCCCCCCAATTAAAGATTCCAACTGAAAAAAATTAGAACTTTAATGCCTCCGGGTTAGACAATGCCCCTGGTCATCCTACGACGTGGCAGATGATTTATGGGGGCTGAAATTTATTAAAGGGAAGTTTTTTTGCCTCCTAAACCACTCCTCCCTGCACCCCTGGACCAAGGTTTTTTGCAAAATTTAAAAAAATGTACACAAAAACTCTGTTTTTAAAGGTGCTTTTTGGGGACCTAAAAACTCAACTGACCTAAAAAGTTTTTGGAGAAGCATTTAAAAAATTCCTCAATTGTGTAAACCTTAAAGTAAGGCTTGGAGGGAGTGACTAAGAAACCTTGAACTCTGCTGGAAGAAACTGTGGGCCCGAATGTTAGACAAAAAAGGGTTTTGAAGGTTTTAGCTAACCCTGAGAGGATTTTGCCCTTAAAGGAAACCATTTTGGGACTGGGGAAAATCCTTAGGTTGGAGGGTTTGTGGGATGATGGGAAGAGTTGGTGGAGGAGGGCAATGAAAACTAACCACGATAGCTGATAGATCAACTTCAACAGCAAGGGCCCCGACCTGAGGGAAAATGGGTTTAGAGGAGGGGAAAGAAACGAAGAAGTTGCCTACTACAAAGATTAAAATTTTGGCCCCTTTTTTTTTTATTAAAGGGAAAAAGTCAGTGGCTTGAAGTGCAAAACCCTTCATGATGAAAATCACCCTCACACCTATTGCAAGCCGTGTTGGCAACCTTACATGACAGTTTGAAACCCTTTTGGGGAAATCATAAAGGAAAAGAGGTACAGGGCCCCTAAGGGGCAATATTTGTGCGAAAGAAGCCCTGACTCTGAAGCTGTCCCCAGGGCATTAAAAGAAGAAGGGGGTAAACCCCCAAAAAAGGGCTCCACTCAATCTTAATGGAAGGGGGTTCCCCTTCTAAACACAACACTCTCTCTCCCTCCCCCCCCCATCCCATCAATCATCACCAATCTTTAATAAAAGTAAGTGTCAAGTAATTTGCAGCCTTTTTTAGTTTTTGGGGTATTAAAATTAACATTTCATGTGGTAAAATTTTTTTTTTTCATACTTTTGGGGGCTTGCACGGATTAAAATTTATTTTTCCCCTTTTTTTCTTTTGGGGAAAATTCATTCGCACACCGATCATTTCGCATAACAATGAGCCCTCTTGCACGGATTAAAGTCGCTATGCGGGGGTCCACTGTACTGTATCATCCTTTACAGATGACACTAGAATTTGTTTGAAACTGGTATCCATAGAAGTCACAGTGAGCCTCTAAGCTGATACAAAGTTTTCCATGGGCCACTGACAACAATAAGATATTCAATGAGGACAAATGTCAGTTAATACATTACAGAAAAATGGAAGAAATAAAAAAAACAAGAACAAGATCAGGGTACAGGACAAACACAAACCACTCGATAGATGCAAATCAAATGTGAGAGACCTGGCTGTGATAATGTCAGATCATCTCATGTTCAAGGAGTACAACAACGTTATTCTCACAACTGCAAGAAAAATGAAAGGATGGACAACTAGACCCTTAGAACAAGAGATGGCAAACCGATAATGATACTCATCAGGTCACTCATTTTCTCTAGGCTGGAATACTGCTGTGCACTAACAGCTCTCTTCAAGGCAAGCAAAACTGCTAAGCTGGAACATGTAAATAGTTCGTATAAACTTAGTCAAGCACCTAAATTATAGGAGAACTTGAAAGTCCCTAGAAGTATATAGTAGGGCCCCCACTTGTATGGCAGATTTGGGTTCCAGGCTACCACAGTAAAGTGGAATGCCATTTTTTCTCATTTATAAATACATAAAAATGTCAGATAACAAATTTACACTAACATGTATTAAGTTAACAGCAGATTATAATAATAATCATGGGGGAGCACTAAACCCATAGGATTATACAGCGCACACGGGGGGGGATGGAAGGTATTCAGGCTCAATTCAGAACACCGGAGCACAGATCCAATTCCCTAGATCAAGAGCCCCTCACTAGCATCAAGGAACCTTCCTTGAGGGGAGTTAACAGCAGAACTAGGCATTAAAAAACAATAAAAAGTAAAATATTTACACAGTACATTCATTACTTGAAGAATTGAGACACTTATGCAACATATGGGAATCTTTATTGAAGAAACGTTTTGCTTCATCAGTCCAATATAAAGCAGGAAGGTACAATGAGGAGGAGGAGTTTGAGGTAATCAGTCCCTCAGCCTGGAATCGATGTGTTCAGTCCATCACTCTTGTAGGAAGTACAGCATAGGGCCAGAGAGGTGGATTATATACTGCAGTCAAGCGAGTCAAAGCACGAGGTGGTGGGATCACAGTGGGACCATCCACTAGTGTAAGTAGGTCTTCATTTATTTATTTATTTATTAATTAATTTGAACATGATACAGAGAAGTACAAAGGAATACAGTTAAGTGCAGCATGCCAAAGCCCCTTGTATGCAGAGCATTATGGGAAGGCTTAAAATTAACTTAAGATTAACTAAGCAATGATGTATTCAGTGTTAAAACATTATTGTAAACAGATAACAATTAAACACAAATGAGTATTACTAAGACAAGTCATATGGTCATTTTCTGTGTTGCTGTGCATTCAGTAGAATGGAGTATTCTGTTAGGTAATGTAATTAAAAAATAACAAAGTTTGATTGGGTCTCAGGTTAAACATTTATGTGATACAATTATGAGAAAAATTTAAGATATACAATTTATAAGATACAATTATTCAGTATTTATTTGGTTGTGGGTGAGTAAGTGATTTTTGAGAAGAGACTTGAATTTATAAACAAACAGTGTTTCTTTTATATTTACAGGTAATGAATTCTAGATTTTAGGGCCTTTTATGTGCATTGAGTTTTTGCATAGCGTGAGATGGACATGAGGAACATCAAAGAGTGATCTGTGCCTTGTGTTATGGTCATGTGTTCTGTTGAGGTTGGTAAGGAGACATTTGAGGGGAGGGTTTATATCAGAGTTAAGTGTTCTATGTATGTAATAGGTGCAGTAATAAGTATGGATGTTTTGCATGGAGAGTAGGTTTAGAGTTTTGAATATTGG